TTTTCCATGCAATTTAGTTGAAAAATTTTTAAACTGAAAATATCCAAAAGTACCGCGTAGTCCGGCCATGTTGTAACTCGTGAATTAGGGAAAAAAAATATACAATGAGAATAAGAATGGATAAAATAAAATTAATCTAATTGTAAAAACGGAGCTGGAAATCAAATCAAATAAAATAGTATAAATTACCCTAAATTTCGTTGTTCTCGCTGATTTTTCCTTGGCTGTTTATTGAAACCGAAAAATTCAGATGATTTATCAAAATTTGAATTTGAGAACTCTGACACTGATGTGGCAAAATGAGTTAGAAAAAATATCAATATTTTGCGAAACCCAATTTAGATAACGCCGTGACTTCAATCGAAAGCCCGAGTTGTAGACCCGAATTTGTAGCAGGGATGTCAATTGGGCTCAAATGAAAGAGCGAGTCTCGAAATGGCGTGATAATGTCTCTAAACATGACAAATGTCTCTAAAGATGATGTCTGTTTTCAATTGAAAAGCCGAGTTGTGACAACATTGTCTAGGAGGACAATGGGATCTAGGAGTATGTATAGAACATTGGGGTCTAGGAGTCTCCCCTGGTTCAAAACCATCTTTGGAGGCCCTAGCACGCCATTCCTCAACCCGCTCTTTCATTTGAGCCTAAAAAAACATTCATATCTTGTCTGACATCTCTGCTACAAACTCGGGTCTTCAACTCCGGCCTTCAATTGAAAGCCCGAGTTGTAGACCCGAGTTTGTAGCAGCGATGTCAGACAAGATATGAATGTTTTTTTGGGCTCAAAAGAAATAGCGAGTCTCGAAATGGCATGATAATGTCTCTAAACATGACAAATGTCTCTAAAGATGATGTCTGTTTTCAATTGAAAAGCAGAGTTGTGACAACATTGTCCATTGGGGTCTAGGAGTCTCCCCTGCTTGGAAAATTATCCTTAGAATCATCTGCACTATATTTGGATACCCGCTCCTGCACTCGAGCCTTATATGAATTTCTGCGTGCGACACGCTGCGTGTTGTAGTGCTGGCCGACCCATATATGAATCTGCGTGTCACACGCCGCGTGTCACACGCTGCGTATGGTGGTGCGAATAACCACGGCGTTTAGATAATACTGACTGGGTATGAATTTTTTCAAATTTTTTCCGTGCAATTTAGTTGAAAAATTTAAAAACTGAAAATATCCAAGAGTACAGCGTAGCCCGGCCGAAGAGTAGAGCTACTTTAAAAATATTCGAAAAGTGGACTTTATGCAAGTTCTCTATTCAGTATAGAAAAAAATTGAACTACTTGGATCCAACATCCTTAGGTTGTTGTTTTCCGTTGAAGTCTGCGGTTTTTCGGAACACTGTCATTTACGTATTTGCATTATCATCTGCACTGTGGGAAGTGAGTGTGCACTCCCCTCTCTCACTGCTGCAATGATTAATGCGATGAGTAAAGGAATAAGTAACTGGAAGTCCTGTGTAAATTCGATCGGCAGTCTTAGTCACCCGGACGTCTTTGAGGTATGACCTCTGCCGGAAAATCCTATTCATCTTGGGGATCTTTGAACGCTAATTTTGAGGTGACGTATGTACACAGCACAGTGAGTCACATGTTTTCGTCGGAAAATCGATATTTTTGGGAGGAGAGGCGCGTGTTGCTGAGGGGTGTCTCGAAAATTAGTGAAGAAATGTGGAAAGAGATTTTTCTTGAGAAAAATCTTATTTTTAATTCTGTTAGAAAAAAGGAGTTGATTTTTTTTTCAGAAATATTTGAAAATCATATTATATTATTTAATTCGTGGGGAATTAAACTTTTTCGGAAAAAAGAGTGGATTTGTTTTTCAGAAATATTTGAAAACCATATTATATTATTTGATTCGAGGAGAATTAAACTCTTTTAGGGAAAAGAGTTGATTTTTTTTCAGAAATGTTTGCAAATCATATTATATTATTTAATTCAAGGGGAATTAAACTCTTTTAGAAAAAAGAGTCGATTTTTTTTTCAAAAATATTTGCAAATTACATTGGACTTTCGTTGTTGAATTCTATCAGACGAAAAAAAATTGATTGTCTTGTTAAGCAAACGGATTTAGAAAAAAATATCGAGATTTGAATTTTTTGGGAATTTTGATTTTTTACAAAAATTGTCTTTCATAAATAGTTCCTGATTGAACATCACTCAAATGTCAATTGAGTGATGTTTTTAATCAGAAATAAATTTATCTTTCTCGTGAATATTTAAAATATAAATGGGTTGATGAATAATATTAGAAAGTGTTTGTGGAGAATCCAATTTTCTACGAGAAAAGTTATAAAAATTTTCTCTGAATCGAGTATTGTCTGAAATAATTGTGAATCAAAATTGTCAATTTTTTTGTTCATTGAATTATATAGTATCTTATCGTATTTCCAAAAATTCCAAGAAAATCCTCATTCTTATCAAATGACGTCAAAAAAATTGATGACATTTTGAGAAATTTCCGATAATCGTTTTGTTTGTCACCGAAACGTGCGTTCAGTTTCAAAATAATTTCGCAATCAATTTACTGATGTTTTCATGAAGAAAAAAATTATCTTCCTCGTAATAAATAATTTCATAAATAATGTCATAAAGTCTCTGTGGAGAATTGAATTTTCGACAAAAGAAGTTATGAAAATTTTCTCTGAATCGACTTTTTTAAAAACTATCGCTGAATCAAAATTGTCAAAATCTTTTCATTGAATTATCTAGTCTAAACGAAATGTAATTCGTATCGTATTTCCAAAAATTCCAAAAAAATCTTCATTCTTATCAATTCACCTCGAAACACTAGCTGACATTTTGGGAAATTGCAGGTAATAATTTTTTTCTCATAGAAACGCCAGTTGAATTGCAAAATAATTTCCAAAGCTGAAATTTCCGCAAAATCTTCCATAGAGTTTTTTCAAATATTTTCTGATTAAAACTGTCAAAATTTCAATTGATCGATATCTTTAATGAGAAAAAATTTCTGACAATCATTTTGTTTGTCACAGAAACGTCAGGAGATTTGCAAAATAATTACGCAATAGAATCAATTAATTCAGAATTCGCAAAATCTTTTGTACAGTTATTTCAGCGAGCGAGTAAATCATTTTCATTTAGCACTCGAGGGAAATTTGTGAACACGTGGTGGCCGTATGGTTCTGTGAAACGCTTCCTGTCCACTCGAGAGTGCGGAGCCAACGCCACTTGAATTTCCAGCCCAGAAAAAGATTAGAAGAAAATCCTATCGTCAAAAGTATAAAAAAATGAAAAGGAAATGAAAAAATGAAAACATTCGAAAATTTAAATTTGCCCGAAAAAACTTAAGCTAAACAATTTAGTTGCGATTTCCGAGCGAATGATCAATTAATAAAAATAGAAAGAACAGATTTTTCCAGTTTTTTTCTCATTGATTTTTTTCCTTTCTAATCATGAATTTTCCCATTAACGTCACGCGAACGAAGTAAACGTGCGCGTCTATCACTCCCCGCAACCTTGGTCTCAAGTTCACAGGAAACCCCACATTCATCTCTGTCTTTCTCTCTCTCTGAGAAAACTCGATAATCCAAATGAAAGGAAATTATTTAGTGAATAACTCGCAAATGTTTCGCATTTTATTGTTGGGAAAATGTTGGAGCCAGTGATGTTGGCGAAACGTCGGCAGCAGATGGCACTGGTGCTTGAGAGCAGCTGGGTCATGTGCTCCATCCAACTTCATCTCAAGATTTTCAACAAATGCCATCATTATTGCACTATAAAAAAGTTATGGCCGAATAAACCGGACAATTTATAATTTGAAAAAAAATTTTCTTCTCAATTTGAAGAAGTAATTTTTTTTCGTTAACACAATTGCTTCGCCTACTTCAATAATGTTGAAAAAAAATATTACTCTTGTTTTTTCAATTTTCACCTAAAAAATTAGAAACAAAACTGATTTCAGTATCAAAACGACAAAACTGTTCAAGTCGATTTGGATTATTTTCAGGTTTCTGTTGAATATCTCGGAATCTAAGGGGGATAGAAAAATTTTTATCATGACCTTTTTTGTAGAGCGTATTGAGGGCTACAAAAATGGTTTGTACAAAATTTCTGTATTTCCCTTAGATTCCGAGATATTCCTTGAAAACTCGGGTCAAGGCTAAATCGACTTGAACCGTTTTTCCGCTTTGCTACAGAATTTTAATCTACTCAACTTGACGAAATACTTTTTTTCGTGGACACAATTAGTTTTTCCATTTCAATAATATTGAACTATTGTTTTTTAATTTTGAACAAAAAATTCTAGAACAAAAATGATTTCAATAGCGAAGTGGTAAAACAGTATGTTGATTAGTGTCCAGCTTTCAGTGGATATCTCGGAATCTAAGCGAGATGGCAAAATTTTCATCACGACCTTTTTTCTAGAACACATTGAGAGCTACAAAAAAGGTTATGAGCAAAATTTCGCTATTTCCTTTAGATTCGGAGATATTCCTCGAAAACTCAACTCAGGGCTAAATCACCACAAACCATTTTCCCGCTTCGCTGCTGAATTTTTTTTCTCAATTTAACAAAATAATTGTCCATCATTACAGACAATTATTTCTTGCACTTCAATAATGCTGAACCAAAAATGTTGAGCCCTTGTTTTCTCCATTTTGACCAAAAACTTCTGGAACAAAAATTACTATTGTCCAGTTTTCACTGAATATCTCAAAATCTTAGCGGGATAGTAAAATTTTCGTCATAACCTCTTTTGCAGCCCTCACAGCGCTCTACAAAAAAGGTCGTCCCAAAAATCTCGCCATTTCCCTTAGATTCGGAGATAATCCTCAAAAACTCACGCAGTTTGCCCGCTTCGCCACTGAAATCTGCACTTCCCGTATTTTTTACCTGAAAACAATCATCCTAAATAAACAAATGCCTCATTATTCACTAAAAAATTCAATTCATCACTTAACCCCGAGGACTGAAATCCGCCGGCCGAACAGAATCGCACCGCAAAAAAAAAAATTCCAAAAATCCACTTACGTTCGTCGCGCCTTGATCGCCCAATCCATATCGTGCGACGTATCCACGCGTGATAACTTGAATACAATCCACAAAACTAATTATCCACCAGATGAATCAATAAATCCCGAACAACTGTGATGCCAGTGACCCCTCAGCCCGAGCCTTGAACAGAATTTCCAAATGATAGCACTCGCGCACCCACAATCACCACAACAGCATAACCACACGGATCAAATCATACGAACAACAATCAGTGAATACAATCTTGAACAATATCCGATGACGTTGAAATCACTTCATACAATCATTGGCATTGGTTTTTTTTCCCACAAAGTGTGAGTAGCGTAGCGCAAGCGTCCGTTGGACGCCCCGATATCGTCTGAAGACACAACATTCGTCGGTAAAAATTCGCAATAATCCACTAATAAATCCATTTGATTGATCACGAGAGAATCATCGGATTAATGATGAGTCACATGGAGTCCGCTGATGGCATTTTGTCAATTACTCCTTCAAATACTTCGCCGAGCACTCGATTTTTCCCTTATCGCGCGTCCAATTATTATTTCCCTTTTCAACTGTTTTTACTCAGTCGCAATATCATCGGTGATGAAAACAAATAAACTCAGTGAACGATGATTATTATTTTTTTTAACAATTAGAGGGAGAGGGAGAGGTAACGACGCGTTTTTCGGGGAAAAAAAAACGAGTCGCAAAGCTGCCACGACGACGGCCCAGCGAAGACTGAGGCCGAGTGCGCGCGCCGTTGCTGATGCGCATGGCGGGGCGTCGGAGGGGGGGAAGCGACTGGTCGCGGTTCGGTCGGGAGGGGGGGAGGGGTGCAGACCCGTGGTGAGAGGGCTTGGTGCCCCCCGGTAAAATTAAAGGGAAAGAGATTATTTTTTTCGGGGATTTTTGGATTAAAAAGTGAGGGGAGGGGAGAGGTTGTTTTGTTGGGTAGTTGGGGATTTTTTTTTTGTTGAAATGGGAGGTTTGTTAATTGTTACAATGAGGCTTGTTTTTTTGGAGTGTGTTTGATGAAGCGGTTATGATAGAAAAAGTCCGAAAATGATATTTTTAGATCTTATTCGTCCGTGTGTGACAATTTTTGGGCAATTGTTGACTGATGAACTGATGAGATTTAATTATTTTTTAAAGTGTGGTGTTGTTGAGTTATATCGACGTTATTGAATTGTAATTCGTACTAGGGGGCTACACCCCTGCTCGCTCCGCTCGCCGACTCTGTGACCTTTAATCGGACCCTCGTGGTCCTCATTCTCACCCTCGTAAACCCCTGGTGAACCGGATTTTGACCCTTCATTTCTGACCTTTAATTTTCGAGCCTTAATTTCGAGTACCAAATTTTCACCACCAAAAGTCGATTTGGAATTTTTCAATATAGAGAGATATTGAGACCCTTATTTTGACCCTCGGTTTCCGCTCCCCATGACCCTTATTTGGACCTTTAATCTGATTTTTGTGACTTTTAATCCGACTCTTGTGACCATTATTTAGATTAGGCTGACCCTCATTATAACCCCCATGAGCTTTATTTTCATCCTGGTGACCCTTAATTTCTGACACTCGTGACCCTTATTTGGACCGTTAATCTGACCTTTGTAATCCTTAATCTGACCCTTGTAACCCTCATTTAGATCCTTAAGCTGATTCTCAGTATAACCCTCATGACCCTTATTTTGACCCTGGTGACCCTTGGTTTTGACCCCCATGTCCCTTATTAGGACCCTTAATCTGATCCTTGTGACATTCATTGAGACTTTTAAACTGACCCTTGTTACCCTTCTTTGGGCCCTTAATCTAATCCGTGTGACCCCTAATCTGACCAACATAACCCTTGATTTGACCCTTGTGAACCAAATTTTGACCCTTATTCTGACCCTTATGACCTTTAACCTAACCCTCATGACCCTTATTCTGACCCTCATAACCCTTTCTCGGACCCTCACGACCCTTAATTTCGGAGTCTTAATTTCGAGTACCAAATTTTTATCACCAGAAGTCGATTTGAATTTTAATAATATAGAAAGATATTAATTTTTAGAATTTTGAAATTTGATAGGGGAAGGTAGGGTAAAATGGACACTTCTGACTTTTTTTGAAATATTCATCACGTGTTGAATTGTTCATGAAATGGAATAATTTTATTTTTCAATTGAAAGAACAATGATCCCTCTTTGTCATGAGCTTAGACTGAGCTCAATTGATAAATCTTTTTCTGAGTTATGAATATTTGTAAAAAAGTCAAGTGTCCATTTTACCCCACTCTCTCTTAAAAATGGGTTGTCCCACGATAACTAAAATGTTCTGTGTTCATTAAATGATAGTTTTAAAAAATATTACGATATTACGAGGGGAGTTGCCGTCATCTATTGGGCAAGGTCCACGTGAAGTTTAGGCTAGGTTGGCTCGAGCCTTTCCGATTGGTCCAGCGTTCGACCGCTCTTGTGACGTCAACAGCGATTTCAAAGCCTTTCCCTCCCTTCATCTGTCGATAATCAATTATTAATCAACGAACAATAACTTCAATGTTTACAAATGAAAAATAGATCATTCACAAATAAAATTTCAGATTTAATTTTTTTGTAATGACCCCGAAAATCGAATGTGGAATTTCCATGATTTTTCCACATTTCTCGATGTTTTGAATAATTTTGAACAAATTTTGAAGACATGTTCGTATGTTTTTTTTTTAAATCATACCAGTTCTCTATCTCCCCGCTCGACCTGAAAATAAAAACCAACTGGAAAAAAAATTTGAAATAATTTTCCCCAGTGTTTTGGTAACACCCTATAGACGCGGATAATTCAAGCATTGACTGTACACACGACCCCGAGGGTTTTATACCCATCTGTGAAAAGGGAATAGAAACCCTCGTGCATTCAGTCTCTCTGGGCCTCTACTCGGCTATAGAGCGAGAGGTGGCTGGATGCCGGAGCGGGGGGGGGGGGGGGANGGGGGGGGGGGGGGGGGGGGGGGGGGGGGGTATATGCCAGTTTGCGATGTGGAATTAACCCTGGAGGAGAGAGAGGAGAAAAAAAGGGAACGTTTCGGTGATGATATAGAGAGGGGTTTTATCGGGGAGTGGCGAAGGGGGCTTGCTGTATTTTTTTACGTCCCTTTTCGCGCTGGGTATTGATTGGAAAAATATGAGATGAATTTTTCGAGCTTCTGCCGATGGGGTTCAGCCGTCAATTCCCCAGCAATTAGATTTCGATGCGCATTTTCTCCTTATTTTTGTTGTTTGCAAAATTTTAGAATTTAATTGCAATTATGATTAAAATCTTATTCAGTGAGCATAGGAATTAGAACATGAGCAAATCATTCATTTTAATGTGAAAATTTAACAGCTGATCAATTGGGACATATGATTGTCATCGGTCGTATTGCTTTTGCAATGAGAATGATTATAGACAATTCAATGGAAAAGAGCATAGCGAAGTCGCATCAACACGGGTGGCGCTGGTTTGAACATGACGACGATGAGAGGTTAGAGCGCATGTGAGGGCGCCACGTTATAGGACCATATCGGAGGCCAGGACCACCAACTTCGTCTAACGAAAATGTCACCTTGAAGAGTTTTCAAAAATGATCAACCGTTAATGAATTCCGCAGTGAAAAAGAAGACGGAAATTTTACCCGAAAAAAAGATTATTAAATAGCTGCTGATTTGAATTCCTGAAAATAGTTTTAATTCCGTTGAATTTATTTCCTAGTCTGTGATAAAATTAATCGTTGCGGTTTACCCCGGCAATATGGAAACTATTTAAAATAAGATATTCGTGTAATTTCCGATATATTATACCGGACGCGATTTCACTAGAAAATTTTTCACTCACTCACTCCCTTCTCCCTCACCCCGTCACTTCAGTTTCATGTGCACTTTGATTGCAATATGACGTAAGGCATTTCCCTCCGCATTCGGCGAGTGCCAGAGGATAGAAAGGTAAAAATTCCCCATTTTTATCTCTCACTTTTACTATAGCAAAGGTTTATGCGACAATGCAAAATGGAAGGTTGTCACCAATATAAAAACATTCAAGAACAGAAGGATGAAAATTTATAAAAATTGTGATTATTATTATTATTTTTTAGAAGAGGTAAAATTCAACATCTGAGCGAGGGAATGACAACCCAGTTTGCCCCATTATTGATAAATTTCCAGCGAAAAAAAAACATTTCACTTTGACCTAAAACAAAAATGAATTTGGTTTGCACTATCAGAGAGCCAGGGAAAAATGAGTTTGAAAAACTCAATATGACGACCCATTTTGCCCCATTATTAAGAAATTTCCAGCGAAGAAAAAAAATTCGTTTTGACCTTAAATGAATTTGATTTGCACTACCAAAAAGCCAGGCAAAAATGAGCGGAAAAACTCCACATGGCGACCCATTTTGCCCCACTATTGATAAAATTCCAGCGGAAAAACTTTTTCAAAAAAAAAAATCAAAAATTTATTTTTTCTAAAACTTGTAAATTATTGGTGTGAAATAATTCGTTACATAGAGTTTGTCCAGGGAAATTTCCATACCTACATAGAGTAATAGAGAACGTAATAAACGAATTTTAAAAATTGATGAGACGAAGAGCCAAGGATAGAGGAAAATAAGGCCTTGATTCGATTTCCAAGAACAGCCGAAAAGTTCTCCTAATACCCCTGTTATATTTATTTTTTTCATCTTCGAATCTTCAGGTAAAAGGAGGTCGGTCGTGGGGGTATCTAGGTAGGTAAGAAAGGAGTGACAAATGTGCGGACGGAACGAAGGGAAAGGTGAAAGGGAAACCAAAAGAGGGAGAGGGAGAGAGAGAAAGAAAGAGAGAGAGAGAGAGAGAGAGAGAGAGAGAGAGAGAGA